TTCTCACTTGACTGCACGGAGCAGCACATGTAACTGTAAATTATACAAGACACACATCCAGTGAAAGATGGAACTGTTTTAGAGTGGGAAATGGATGGAATGTCGATCTCTACATGCAGCAATGATACTTGTGGTTCATTTCGCCATTTACCACTTTTTTTTTATTTAATTTACTTGGAGCGATTCTTTGACAGTTTTTCCTTCTGCCATTATTCGGTAGGGGTGTACATTGTTGCGTACACTTCTCCGTCATGATAAACACATTATCATCAAGGAAGAGGTTGATGTTTTCTGCCATATTAATTACATGCACCTCATTGATAGGTATGTATGGAAGGGAGTGTATTATTTTTCAGGAACTGTAAAGATTAAAGTCACCATTGGAGTCAACCCCATACCATGCATATGGAAACAAGGACGGTAACGGTTTCCGCCATTTTTGATATTTGTGTATCACTTGCTTTTGCACATTAAAGTGTACAATTAACAATACATGGTTGCAATGGTGATTCTTAAAAATAAATAAATAAATAACGGCAGTTTGAAATCCTTTGTTTTATCATGGGAATTGGATTTGGATGTTACGAATGCTGGACTCTTCTGACGTGCAGATTTCATTCTCTTATGGGCGTTTCTGTGATTACCCAGTGGATGGAGTTTGTCGTCTGGGACTCTCGTGTTAGTGAATGAGTTGATGAATAGTAGAGGGAAGGCGTGTGTGATAGTGTAGTATAGGATTGATTATTTGTTGTACTCTTGTTAAGAGAAGTGTTACTTGTTTAACGAGGGTGTCCTTATTGCACTATATGTATATTTATTTCATAATATTTGAATTTCAACGAAACGAAATAAAAGAAACAAAAGAAAATGATAATTATTTTGTACATGGGGCACATTTCCTTTCATTTATTTTTTCAATCCAAAGTGGTTAATGACATTTATGGGAAATTCTAACAGCAAAATGGTACACAGTGTCTTGGATGACACCAGAGAAATGTTAACTAAATAGTGAAGGGCAAAAGTGAAAGATACATCTTGAAAAGGAGAAAAAAAGGAATAAATCAGGGAAGACAATGGGACAATAATAATAATAACCCTCTGGGGCATGAATTCACACGCGATACATCCCTCTGAACATTTGACAGTCATCTCTATTTGTGTGTGTGTGTGTTTTTCTTGTCTTTTTTCTCTTTTCTATCCTGCTTGATTGGATCTTTTTTTTTTTGTTTACTTTGTGGTAGACTAGCTGAGAGAACGACAAACCAGACAATAATTTCCTTAAAA